TCGACTGAACACCTTATTAGTAAATCAAATCTTATTACGTCAAGTTAATTTCTATCCAATAGTATTGCAATGCAGCCTGCCAATTTGCTGTCATCCTACTTGTAAGATATCCACTATATAGGTAGATTGACATCTTGTACAGTTAGTTGTTGTTAGCTATGCTCAGTGTGTAAACTTCGTTCTAAAGTCTGATATTAAAAAGTATCTTGATCCAAGTACCAGCTCTATTTGAGAAGTCCCACAGCTTACAAGTTCCCGAAAATATCTTGTAACATTTCTGCCAAGACAAATATGGTTTTAAGCTTCTGAATAAAGTGTCGTCAGGAATGATTTCTTATGCAAATCACAAAAAAAGGAAATTCATTTTGTTACACTGAAAAAATAATTTGTACATGTCAGTCCGTGTAAACAATGACGTCATTTTAGTCAGCATCACATCACTCTATTATTTGCATTTTCAAATTTTTCGGAAATGCCTATAACTTAGAAAATACAATTCAATGTTTTTTTATCATATAATTATCTGTGAAATACCTATATTTCTCCGTTTCGCAAAGTTGATATTTTCACTAGTGAAAATAACACATTCGAGGTTTCTCTATATAGTGGAAGTAAGAAAAAACACGTATTTTACGACATAATTTGCTTTCATATGTAATTATATGATAAACAGAATATTACATGGTCGCTTGGAGATACGAATTTTATCTTCTCGTGTTGAAAATGTCTCACTCGCCCATGTAATATCCTCTATCAATTAGATTTGCTTGGTATTCACAAGTAGAACTAACCATGGAATTTTTTTGAATTAGAGTGATCGCACTTACCTGGTAAACCGTGCAACTGTACAAAATCTAAGTAGTACTAATTTGTACTAAAAGTGGACCTGAAGCAAGATGGTATTGTATGCTTCATTTGTATCAATTCAATTTAATTTGCGTAGAGCATGCACGATTTACTAAATACAACTAAATAGCACGATTTAGTTTGTACAGTTGCACAGTTAGAGTGGTTTTCATTAACCCGTGAAACACACTTTAGTGTATTTAGCACTATTACACGCTGTGTGGCGGTGTGGCGGATCCAGGGTGTTCCATAAAATAAAAAAATGACAATAATATAAAATGAAAACGCATCGTACAATGAATTTTTATTCAATACATTCACACTACATTTGCTACAGTTCGAGAGGCACAGTATAAGTTCGTTTTAGGAAAATGTGAAAACAAAGAGGAACCCCCCTTTGAAAAATCCTGGATCCGCCACTGACAGCGTCTAGTTAATCTTCAATTATGTGTTCCAAATCTATAATAAATATCTCTACAGAAATTTCACCAGACCGCTCTTGTGTTATTTTATGGTGATAATGATGATAAAAAAATAACAATAATAAAACTTGACAATCGAAAAAATCGCGCACTTTAAAAGGTTGTAAATTTGATGAAAATATTATGTACGTAATAATTGGTTAAATCTAAGCGCTGAGTCTTGTTATTCCTGCTATGTCAAGCTACAACTGATTCTAAGAGATGAAATAACGTAGAAGTCACGTGACAAACTGGCACATATTACAATGTAAATGTCTAAAATGATGTAAATTTGATGTGAAATCGTTATTGGGTAATAAAGGAAATCTTTTTTCCAATCTGGCCCATACGGGAAGCACAAAAGTCCAATTAGAGATTAAAGTTAGTCTTTGAATCTCAAGTTCCTTGGTAGCAAAGAGTTTGGTTTTGCTAGTTCCCAGATTTGAGCTATAATTGAACCCTTTTCCAATTAAGCATTGATGCATCAGTATCAGCATACGTAATATGATAACATCAGAAATTGGGAGTTGGAAAAACGGTAAGGAGGGCGACATGGGCCTTTTCTGAGATAGCAGTTTGAATTTCATTGTGGTCTAGACTCAGTACAAACATCTTTTGTTCGCTCTGCCAAATATGGTGTTGTTTGAACTGAAGCTAGACCACAATGCACCATGAATTTGCATTTCAGAAAAGGTCTATTACGTCAACATTCAGCAGAAGCCTTGCACCTCGTTTCTGGGCTAACAAAAGTCTTTGTGCAGTTTCCACAAACAGAACAACAATATTCCTAGACTCTATATGGTCTTGCCTGTCTGATGAGCTCCAATTTAGTGTTAAATTTCTTAACAAGTTTTCTGATCCGTGCAGTGCTCGTTCCACGTAAAGAAGAATCGATGTAAATACCCAGTAATAATTTTTCACACACGGACTGTTCGATTAATTCATCATTGATATAAATATGTAGAGGATCTGATTTTGCTAGTTCTGATGTGTTTCAATAAGCATAACCTTCCATCCTGTTATCGACAGCCCACATCAAAGGTTGACCAGGCCAGCTAGCGGCTTTTTAACTTAATGCCAGCGGATGAGGACCCAATTTTGTTACAATTTTGAGATCATGAGGTAGCTGAAAAAATTGTGATATTGTAGTCTTTTGTTTGATTATTGGTTTTTCGTAATTAAATTCATGTTGGGTGTGAGCCTTCGTTTTTCGAGATCCCTTCGTACGTGGAGCTGCATCCCGCTGATTAGGAAGGAGCCTTGCTATGTTCAAACAAAGCTGCTTGGATGAAACATAAAGTACGATTTTTTCATCTTGGATATAAGACTAACTTATACTGGTACAAAGACTAAATGAGCCCTTCGGTCGTATAAATCTATAGATCGTCCACGGTCGGTCGTATCGAAGCTTTCTATAAATCGTCCACGGTCGGTCGTTCAAGTGTGCTAATATTGGCATACAAATGTTGATTGTACTCCTTTAGATTAACGAGTTTCTGTTAAAGCAAAATATACAGTTAATAATGTAAAAAACAAAACAAAACAAAACTTAAATTTACTTATTCGACTCATACAATGTCTTTCGTTCACTGACCTGAGTGTCCTTGGCTAAGTGCGCCATATTGTTGGACAGTGACGAAAACGAAGGACGACGGGAAGGATTAGCAGACCAACATTGAAGCATTAGAGTGTACCTTGACAACAATTGATAACATATAACAACATATTACTCTACCTATTGTTGTCAATACTGCGCACAATTTGATTGGATGAAAACTGTTCCGTATAACACAATACGCTTTTATTGTCCTACAGGAGAACAGCTCTAATTCGTCTGCAAAAGTGCGCGCTCTGCATACGGAGTTTACGTTATTAAAGCAATAAACGATAGACTTCCTTGGTTTGTAGGTAAAAGAGAGCACTTTTAGAAATCGCACTTTTCTTTAAACGCAAGGGCTACTTACAGTTTGTCACAAATATGCGGTGGTTTTGAAAGCCGTTTACCACTTTTGATCATCTCAAGGACTTCAATTCCTCTCATATCAGCATATGGTCGACCACCTAAGATAATATGGCAAAATCCTCAATCTTTCGTTCGTGCATGTTTTTAGTTTTCGACGTCAGTCAACGGAACATCCAATTTTATATTGCTCGACTGACCCCTCTATGATTGAGTACTAGTGGCACTTTTGGTATTGTATGATGATCAAAATGAAAGGCCAAACGTCTATGAGTGGCATATAAATGAATAAATCCTTACCTAATGTGAATATTTCATAGAGAACAACTCCAAAACTCCAGCTGGAAACCAAGTGAAGCACAAACAAAAGTGTTGACGACAAAAAAATTGAATAAAGAAAAGAAAAGAAAAGAAAGAGGAACAAGGAAAAGGAAAAATGGAA